GAAGTGCATTGCTCAAGAACATACCAGACTGCACTTGGGGGCAGCCAGGATTTTGAGCCACCAACCATTAGGCCCTTTTATAATTGAATGTACACATTAGAATATGCACTGGCATTATTTGACTCATTCAACTTTTGTCCTTGAGCTGCTTCCAAAATCCCTTTTGATGAGTAGTCGGAAGTAATGGCAGCTTTTTAGGCAAATGTACTACTTTGATATTTACAAAAATTCGTCATTTTCCCCAAATAAATAATATTGGACAATGACTTGCGCCATATAAAATTCCATTACTCTGCCGCCATAAATTCACTTGGGCATAGATAGTACTCACTACTACTCACTACCGTATTATAATAGATCCATGCTATACACTGCGGACGGTGGGCGTGTCGAGTAGTGACGTCACTACCCGACACGCCCACTACTCGACACGCCTTCCGTACTGCAGGCCGCAGCAGATACAATTGACAAAAGTCTTTAAAACTTTAAATCGATCTAATCCAAATTAAGACACATTGTTTTGCTAATTTCAGCATTTTTAGACTATTTTCTCATACTGTTCATCTTTTGTTTGCTATGGCCCTAACAGAACGCTCCGCGGTCGAATCTCTCCGATCGGTGACACTCATAGTAGACCGCCACCTTGTCAATCAGCACAAACACAAAAACAACCCAATATTAATTTAAAAAATGACTTTTGCCAAGTGTAGAATACGGACTTTGTGGACAACATTGTAACAGCGCAGCCAGTACAGAGATGTGCACCTTTTTAGTAAACTTTTAACAACTTTTTAGCGCGTTTTTATTGTTCAGTTTTTTAATATATCTGAGTGTTTTATGTTATTAATTCAGTGGTTTCAGCAAATAGCGCTTAGTCCCGACTGAAACCCACTAGTAGCACAGAGGCTAACACAAGCTAACGAGGACATGGAAAGTGACAATGAAATTGGCTCAAACATGCACAATATTAGTCGCCTCACCTTGGAGCTCCGTGAGAGCGACCGTGCCACCATTGCAGAACTACGAAAAGAAGTCCTTCGTCTCACCGCAGAGTTGAATGAGAAACAATCTCTAGTGTCCAAACTTTTTGAAGTCGCTGGTGGGCAGCATTCACGGCTTATGTCACTGAGTGCTGCATATTGTGACACTGTCGTGTGGGAGAGATCCGTCAGCTCCGGACCCTCCTGTTCTACACCTAAGCGCCCGGTTCCGAACAACGAGCCCGCGGATTCCGAGGAGCCATCCTGCGCCGTGGCCCATGTCCTTAGTCTGGCAAACCGCTATGCAGCCCTCTCCACTGACATCCCGGCCCCCTCAGCAGAATCCCTGGACACTGCAGCGTACTCTACTGCTCGAGGATCCAAGTCCACTGCGAGGAAAACGCTCCTAAAGGAAGCAGTCCTCAGGCGAAAGAGCGGTCCACCAGCCATGTTGGCCTGTTCCCCTTCTTTGACCCCAGTGCAGCAGCCTCAGACTGGGGTAGCGAGCCATCATTACCATCGCTCACCTCCACCGGGTCAGCAGCAGCGCCCAGAGCCAGCCCCTCTCACCGCTCCAGCGTCCCCGAGCACACAGCGTGGGTCGCCTGTAGCTGAGAGTCAGCACCCCCGCTCCTCCTCTCCATGTGTTCAGCGGCGCTCAGGCTCGGGTCTGCTTCGGGTAAACCCGCTGGTTCCGTCCACCGAGCTCCTTCTCCGAGGCCGCGTCCACGTCCACTCTTCGCCCCGACCACTCTGATTATTGGAGATTCCATCGTGAGACACGTCCGCTTCTTTAACGCGGTCACTCGCTGTATTCCCGGAGCTACTGTACCAGACCTGCTCATCCGTCTCCCTCCTCTGCTTCAGTCCCTGCCTGATACCGTTTCCAAGGTAGTCGTTGCATGTGGGAATTAACGACATGAAACTTCAGCAGTCAGAAGTCACTAAGAAACATTTTATGGATCTGTTCCACCTCCTTCAATCCACGGGATTATCTGTTTTTATCTCTGGTCCAATCCCGACTGTAAACAGAGGTGACTGCCTCTACAGTCGTGTTGTGGCGCTGCATATGTGGCTCCAGGCTACATGCAGCTCTTTTAACTTTGTCTTTGTGAATAACTTTGCCCTTTTCTGGAAACGTTACGAAGCCTATCGTCCAGACGGATTACACCCAAACAGATACGGTAGCAGCCTGTTGATGGACTACATACGTTATGTTGTTCAGTGCTCCCCGAGGGGGGCGTGACTGTTTACATCTGAGCCCCCTCGGACCCCACCGCACTCCCCCGCCTCCTGCTCACCAGCACCGGGTGAGTACAACGGTGCAAACACTGCTCCCTGTCCGTCTGGCAGTGTATTACCAGTCCAAACACTGAACTGTGCTGACTCCCTTCTGACTCTGGGAGCTAAAGAACAACAAGGGTTTTCACATTTTAGTCCAATTGAGACTGTGTGTGTTCCTCGCACCAGCTCAAAAATGTTTTTAAATTCTAAAAAACGAAATCAAAACAGGACAGCAGTTAGACGGTCCAACTCTGCAAATCTAATTTCTGTTCCCTGTAGAAATCAATCAACCACATTAATCGACTCTGACGTTATTTTTAAACTTGCTATGCTTAATGTCAGATCTCTATGTAACAAATCATTTTTAATTAATAATTTTATCACTTCTTATGATCTTGATTTTATGCTTATGGCTGAAACATGGCTGGACCAAAATACAGGAAATGCAGTTCTAATAGAAGCAACACCACCCAATTTTAAATTCGAATCCGAAGTACGAGAAAACAAAAGGGGGGGAGGCATAGCTGCAGTTTTTAGAGAGCACTTTGTCTCCCATAGAATGCCCCTTGGAAATTTTTCATCGTTTGAGTATATTTCTTTTAAAATGGAACAAAAGCAATCTTCTACTCTTTTCATTGTCCTGTACAGGCCACCACAGTCATGTTGCGATTTTATTGACCATTTTACTGAACTACTTTCATTCGTGTGCACAGATTTTGATAGTTTAGTTATTACAGGTGATTTTAATGTACATGTTGATAATGTTGATGACAGAAATGCAAAGGAGCTGGCTTCTGTACTTGAGACCTTTGGTTTCATTCAGCACGTGAGTGGCCCCACCCACAGCAGGGGGCACACTCTTGACCTGCTAATTACAAAGGGGGTTAATGTATCAAATGTTAATGTAGTTGATGTTGCTTTGTCAGATCATTTCTGTGTATTTTTTGACATGTGTTTTGCTAGCAAACCACCAGCTGAATTTACAATTGTTAGAAGAAGACACATACATGAAAACACAGGTGAACTGTTCATGGGAATGCTAAATTTTGAGAAAACTCCATGCTCTACTGTTGATGAATTGTATAACTCTGTCACCACCAGTGTTCTGACTGTTCTGGACGCCATTGCTCCTGTGACGGTTAAAATAGTTACCAGTAAGAAAAAGGCCCCATGGACTACTCGACTCGGTCAGGGCACAGAAGCAAGAGTGCCGGAGGGCCGAACGGAAGTGGCGAAAGTCCAATTTCCAGGGCGATTATGAAATCTTTAAAGATGAGTTGGGTGAATTTAACCGGGTTCTACGAAGAACAAGAGAAATGTATTTTTCTGACATTATTGGAGGTTGCAGTAACAATTTTCGTGTTATGTTTTCAACAGTTGGTAGATTAACGAACCCCCCTGTAAAGTTGCCCCTAGAATTTTCCTCTAAATCTAGGTGTAATGAGTTCGCACAGTTTTTCGATGACAAAGTACAAGGAATTAAAAACACTATCACCTCCACAGCACGTATAACAATGCAACAGCCAGAGAAGCTTTTTGAGCTAACTCACTTTGCACCTGTGGATACTGAAACTGTCAAAAAGATAATCATGAGTCTGAGCTCCTCCACATGTAGCCTGGATATATTGCCCTCTAAATTTCTGAAGTCCGTCCTGAGCAGTTTGTTACCTTCACTGACACAAATAGTAAACTTGTCTCTGTCGTCAGGAACATTTCCTATGGCCCTAAAAACAGCAGTCATAAGACCTCTCCTAAAAAAGAGCAGTCTGGATCCTGCGGGACTTCAAAATTATCGCCCCATATCGAATCTGCCATTCATTGGAAAAATTCTTGAAAAAGTGGCCTCCCAACAACTTACTGAATTTTCAACAATGAATAATTCTTTTGATATGTTCCAGTCTGGGTTTAGACCCCACCACAGCACTGAGACCGCTCTAGTGAAGGTAACAAACGACATTCGACTTCACACTGATGCAGGTAAAGTCACAGTTTTGGTCATGTTAGATCTTAGTGCCGCGTTCGACACTGTCGACCATGGGATCCTCGTGCAGAGACTGGAGGACTGGGTTGGTGTCACTGGCACAGCCCTAGACTGGTTTAGGTCTTACCTGGAGGATAGGAAGTACTTTGTGGAGATTGGAGACTGCGTCTCGGATCATGTGGCCCTGACCTGTGGAGTGCCACAGGGGTCGATCCTGGGACCTCTCCTGTTTAATCTCTACATGCTGCCGTTGGGTCAGTTAATACAAAGAAACAAAGTGTCCTACCACAATTACGCCGACGACACTCAGATCTATGTCTCACTGACTGCAGGAGAACATGGACCACTGGATTTGCTCCTTCACTGTATCCAGCGGATCAGTGAGTGGATGCAGAATAATTTCCTCCAGCTAAATGCAGACAAAACCGAAATCATTGTCTTTGGTCCCCAGAAACAAAGAGAGGGCGTCATCTGTCAACTTCAGTCTCTCTCCCTACTTCCTTCAGACAAGGTCAGAAATTTGGGGGTAATACTGGACTCAGACCTAAATTTCAATAGCCACATAAAATCAATAACATCAACAGCTTTTTACCATCTGAAGAACATTGCCAAAGTCAGAAATATAGTGTCCAGGGCAGACTTGGAGATTCTTGTCCACGCATTTGTCTCCAGCAGGCTAGACTACTGCAATGGCCTGCTTACAGGTCTGTCCAAACAGACCTGTAAGCAGCTGCAGTACATCCAAAATGCAGCAGCTAGAGTCCTGACAGGAACCAGGAAGTATGACCATATTAGTCCGGTCCTCAGGTCTCTGCACTGGCTTCCTGTGGCTCAAAGAATAGATTTTAAAACAGCTCTGCTTGTGTACAAGTCTCTCCATGGCCTTGCACCAGAATACATTAGTGACATGTTGGTGTCATATGAACCAGCCCGGACTCTGAGGAGCACAGGGACTGGCCTCCTGCTGGTGCCCAGAGTGAGAACCAAACATGGGGAGGCTGCGTTTCAGATCTATGCAGCTAAGATCTGGAACAATCTCCCTGAAAATGTGAGGGAGGCGTCTACTCTGTCAATGTTCAAATCCAGGTTAAAGACTGTTCTGTTTGCCTGTGCATACAACTGAAGGATTTTATCTCCATTTGTAATGCACTGCTGTCATTTATTTATTTATTTTTTTTAAATTTCTTGTGTAACTTTGAAAGTGTTAATGGTTTTATTCTTTTGTGTGATTTTATTGTTTTTATTGTGTTTTAATCTTTTGTGTGATTTTAATGTTTTAATTGTGATTCTGGTGTTTGTTTTATGTGATGATTTGTGATGTGGACTGTGAAGCGCTTTGTGTTGCCCTGTGCATGAAAGGCGCTCTACAAATAAACTTTGATTGATTGATTGATTGATTAATAGTCAAATAAGCATGCTTTCTATTCTCAATAGCATGCATTTCCCCTTCAACATCTATGTCAGCGTTGAGTCTTTAGTGGTAGTAGTTTGAGGTCTTTTCACCTCTCTGATGGTAGCTGGCCATTCGAGCATTTGAAATATTGAGCTCAATGATTATGTGACAATAAATGGCTTCACACTCCACTGACCATGAGAACGGAAAAAAGTGGTTGTGTCATTCATAATATACAAATTTGGCCAAAACAATGGACACACACAATTGTTGCAAAAACACAACTGTACATCGCCAAATTCTCCTGGTTTTGAAAAGACAATAGGGTGGGCATAGGTTCCATGTTTTTACCTTCTGTCATGAAGTAGGGGATTCGAAACCTCCCTTCAAGGACTCGTTGTCGAAGAACAGGCAGAGTTGGTCCATCAAAAGGCAAGGCACCACAAACCAGGACATATAGCACTACCCCCATGCTCTGAAAAAATTCAAACAGAACAACAAAAACCTTGTTATTATGTTTATGTAAGTGCGGATAGTTCACAATTAGATACAGACTTTGAGGCATTTCAAAGTGACAATATGTATGTTTTAAGCAGATGTTAGGTGGAACTGTTTTATTCTTTCTGCTTGGACTCGTACCCAGATGTCGAGCTGTGGGCCCTCATACTGCAGACCTTCAAACACCTCCGGAGCAGCGTACGGAGGACTGCCGCACCATGTGGTCAGTGGCTCGCCTGGCTGGAAGAAGTTCCCAAACCCAAAATCTAAACAAAAAAGAAAAGATCAATTATTAGGAGGACTCTCAAATGCCACATTTTGAGACATTGTGCTGATGTAATGCAAACCAGAATGATCTGAAACCATAACATGCACAATGAGGATGATAAATCCTCAACCGAGGACAGAGAAGCATGTGGTATGAGCCTTGTGATCAGGAATGTTTCCATGAGGTTTACAGATTTGAACATTATGGAGGTTGTATAAAGACCGTCTCTTCCCCCAGGACTGAGATGCAGATCAGACGTCAGCAACAATTGAATAAACATAACGTTAGAGAAATAAGAAGAATTATCACACAGCAAAACATTTCAATTTTCAATTGAATTAAATGTATTCTTGCATAGCCCTTAATCACAACAGTAGTTATCTTTGAGGTCTTAACAAAACCATTGAATTTTCCAAACACAGATCAGAGAATCATCAAGAATGTTGCATTTAACACTCTCCTGGTCTTGGGACAAAATTTAACAATTCTATGAGGCTACAACTTATTTATTGCCACATTTAATTTCAAGTCTGGGCAATAGTAAACACAGAAAGTATTGAAGATGCTTGTAAATATTTGTCAAGCCCATCAGATAAGATTCTTCATTCATTCATTCATTACATCCTTATTTCCATTCTGGTCAGGGGTGGCATCAGACTGCACCCATTCACACAGCACCTCCCTTGCGACTCGCAGTGTGGTCCCGGAAGATGCTGCTCTTCGACAGATGCAGCTTGGTCTTCAGATGCAGCTTGTCTTCATAGAGTCTTGGTCTTCAGTAAGATCTATCCATTTAATCCGGCACTTCATATCTTTGCTCCACGTGTTGTCATAGGACTCCAACCCCATTCCAAAAAATTGGATACACTTATGTAAACAGAAAAAAGCACAATACCATGTATTCTGTTAGTTAAACAGAAACATTACAAAACCAAGAAGACAAAAATAGCCCATCAACCTCTGCCTTTTCATAATCATCATCTAATAAAACAAAAGAAACAATCAGGACGAGACAACATTCGAAAAATATGAACCTAAAAATACATGGCTGCATTTGTAACTTCGCTATTCAAATGTGGCAGGAGTGTGCTATACATATAAAAGCTGCACTTCGGGGCTCGTCACTGTTGTCGACCGTCTGAAGCTGAGGTGAGACAGACGCAGTGGAGAGGAGCGGCTGCGTCTCCCACCGAAGCTGTGACCCAATTCACGGAGCTGAATTCTGAGCAGAGGCTGACGTCAAAGTCTCCGCCACGCTGCAGGCAACTAACAGCTCTTAAAGTGCAACAAGAAGCAGCGGGTGTGGGTGAGGTTCCACACATTAGCATAAGATTCACCTAAAGATGCCACACTGGGATGGCATATGATACACCGCTCATAGTGGAGTCAATAAAAGAGAGGATTTAATCATGTGAAATGACCTAAAGATGTTTGACCGGTTATTTCTTCATATCCATTTTCTGTACTGCGCTTGAGCTATTAAATAACAGTTTCTTTTGCCTTTTTCATCCAAATATTCAAATTGTGGTTTTTTGCATGGGTTTAGGTCTGACTTGAGAAGTTATTCATCTTAAATTAATTTGTATTCAACTTTTTCAAATGGGAAATATTGCTCTCAGTGATTTACAACTATATTTGAATCAGATTATGGCAAACTCTAACACAAAAAAAGAATACATGTTGCTCCTTAGACTCCAACTAAATTAATGGTTCTCTTCAGGCTCGATCCCCAACTGGGCGTAGGGCCTATTGCTTTCTCAATGAGGAATGCATCTGAGTGTGCATCAGTGCCTGTCAATCACCAAGAACGCAACGGTTGCGTCCGTCTGCTCGAATACTTTAAAATGTGTTGCCAAGGAAACCTATTTATGTACCTGCTCAAGCATCTAAAGGTTTTTAATTTATTTTCTTTTTTCATCCATGTTTCAAATACAACTGTACTAAATGATGTAGCACTTCAGAACAGCAGATCCATTTAAAACCTTGATGCTCTTTATTGGGAAACCAAAGGAAACATGAATTTGGCCTCAACAGCTCGTTCAGTGTGGAGGGGACAGCACAGAGAGTTTGAAGTGAAAGATGAAGGGCACCCCCTGCCACCTCTGCAGCCGCCACATGCACCTGACCTTTCTTTGACTGCACTGCTGCTGCTATACACTGACCAGCACTGGCCTTTAATCACAGTGTTCTTTTTCATCATACACACGTACAGAACTGCCAACCCACAACAAATGCAAATATGTGATAACATCTATCCATCCAACAGTTAGATTCTATCAATAGTTATTCCTCTCTGTCATATCTTTAGATCAAGATTCAGACTTTTAGAGACAAAAATGATGGACAAACAAAATATTTCGGAAAAAGGCAGACTTAAAATCCCAATAATGATACTTTGATTCATTGAATACATCTTCAGAGTACAGTACTTTAGAAGACATCCCCGCTTTGTTAGTAAACATCATCAGCTTTTCTGCGTACAGTAATCTTTGTTTTTATTGGCGGCGCCGGATCGAGCGCCAAAATATGTGTGCAAGCAAACGCGCATTCTCTCATTTAGTCTAGAGAACAGTCTGGGTGATGTGTATTTTAAGTTTTCTTAACCACATGTTCTCTGCTATCATGGTGTTTTAACTTTAATATGAACTTCCCTTTCTTTGATGCTTGACACCTGCAATGAGGGTTCGTATCGTGGTACTTCGATACCTAATGTGGATCTGTCAATGACTATTTGTTCAATAATAATGAAATACAAATTATGTGGATCTCAGCATGTGAAGCAGTGGAGTTAACCTACTTATTATTCATGTGCTAAAGACTGCACTGCTGAACATCTTTTAGCCTCAACAATCTGTGTTCATCAGTAGCCCTACATTTGTTATGCTCTAATATATCTTTTTGAAATTGTACCAAAAATATGACTTCAGCCTTGGATCATTTCTCAGCAATGTTTGAATAAGACAAGATTTCTGAAGCGCTGATGTTGTGACAGCCGCGGGATCACATGGTTCATACACATAGAAAAGCAGAAGTGACATGTTGCAGACCTGCTATTTTGATGTTCATGTGTCCATCGAGAAGCAGATTCTCCGCCTTCAGGTCGCGGTGGACGATGTTGCGATTGTGGCAATATTCCACAGCTGAAAGGATCTGCCAAAACTTCCTCCTGGCGTCGGACTCACTGAGACGGCCTTGCTTTGCCAAGTAGTCTGCAACAAGACAGACATAAAACAAGGATTTATGATGTGTCTTTGTTATTTGTTCATAAATAAAAGACCTACATTTTTCAACTTCAACTTGTACATTTGAAAATCATGAATGAAAACCAAAAACATTTAAAATACATTTTCTAAATGTTCACTATTGGGTAACAGTGTTTATATATTATATATATATATATATATATATATATATATATATATATAATATATATATTAGGGCTGTCAAAATTATCGCGTTAACGCATGTAGATGATTTTTTTTTCATTAATCGCTTTACTGGCACATACCCGAAGGGCCGATGCCCATATTTGGGCCAGTCTTTTTGCTTCATCAAATAAAACATTTGTGTGAACTGTGTAAATCCGTTGAGAAATGCTCGAGGGGAGCGGGCGTGACAGCAGGGCACTTGCAGTTGTTTGCTATGAACTCGAACGCATCCTTCGTGGCCGCAGCGTACCTTTCCATGAAGCTTAAGTTTTCCATTGGGGACAAAGGTACTGCACCTTTGGCCGCAGGTTATTGTGGCAGGGTTTAGAATATTAGAACTATATGATCCCACAACATATACTGTAGTTTATCTTGGTCTGGGTTCATAAATAAAATGTACAGACAAAACTGTTAAGCAAAGCACCGCAACATAAGGGGTTACTGTATGGGAATATGGGAAGGCTACATAAATAGCCACTCTTGTCAAAAGGTTCCATTCAGACAGGTTAGTATTTCGGGGTCCGGATCCCTACATGATTACTCTTCAAGACCTGTGACAAGCAGTTCGTACTTTTTAATCCACTCTTATCTATATCATTCAAAAACAGGCCCCATTCTGTGGCGGTCTGCTTGCAAGCCGAGCGCCGCTAGCTCTAGCGCCGCTAGCTCTAGCTCACGAGAGAATTGATAGAGCTGAGGGACGCTGTCTGCCTCCTCTCTCTCAACCTCCAGTGAGGACGGTGGAGAGAAGTCCTCCACCTTCCAAGGCCGCACACAAGCTGTAGAGTTGGCGTCGCTGTGATCACTCTTACTTACTTACTTACTTACTACTACTATCACTTACTTTTTTCATTAATCGAGTTAGAAAAATTAAAGCATTCACGCATGTATGGAATGACCCGCCCAAGCATCCCATAATAACACTCCACGGACATGTGCGTTTGTGAGATGGCGACAGAGCAGGTAGGCCCTCTGGGAAGTCAAGTTTAAAAAGAACGCATGTGACCGCGGGGCACTTGCTGTTGTTTGCTATGAACTCAGACGAGACTACGCATCCTCCGTGGCCGCAGCATTTTGACCCGGGGCAGCTGCGGCCTGTCTGGACAGTGGTTCCTACCTCCAGCAGCTGTCGCTTTGACAACAACACAGCAAACGGCGCTGCCGTAAAGCTACGCGCAGAGGACTATTCTCTGCTTGTTGTGTGCGTGTCTTTGTGTAACCTGTGCAGCAATAAATACACAGCTGAAACTGACTACGGAGCCTCAGTCTCCTCCGTGTCTTCTCCCGAAGCGCACTCGCTAAATTAAAGCTGGGCTACCTAATTTTTCCCTTCCAATACCAGTTCATGTTGGTTGTGCCCAAAAGTAAAATGTTGTGAGCAAATCCAACAGATTTAATGACATTCTGCATTTCAGACAGTTTTTTTATTTTATTTTGCTGATAGTTCGAAATGCGATTGATTACGATTAATACATTTTTAAGCTGTAATTAACTCGATAAAGATTTTAATCGTTTGACAACTCTGATTATATTATATATATATATTATATATTATATAATATATATATATCTATATAAGCAGGTTGTAAACTTTTGTCATTTTACATTCCACATTTATACAGTACTTAAACTTTGACATTCATTTTAACACACTTCAGTTGGATGAAGATGTAGGCATTAAATCACAATTTTTTCTCATTCAGTGCATCCCTAGTGCAGATTTAGTAGACCCTCACGAGAGGTGCTTGGACTGGATACTGGCTTTGATGAAGTGCAGGCCTCTGTCCAAAAGTTGATATGCGTGTTCTCTTTTTTGAAGATTTAGTGCACAATGCATTACATAACCATACGTTTCAAGTCCTCTGTAACCCAGGATGTGTAAATGTGAGTGTTTGGAGCGAAGCTTGACAGTGCAGAAGGTACCATGTTGTCATGTCAAAGAAAGGAGGAGGAGGGGGATATTTGTGCCAAGTGTCCCTCTGCTGCATACAGGGCAAGTTGGGGCAGGCAGTGGGGGTAGGGGTTGTTGGACGATAGAGGTCCAACACGACTACATTTGGTACAACGTAGTAGGTAACTCGAATCAGCCAAACAAACTAAATCTTCTGAAAATACCAGTATTTCCCAATATTGCTGTAACTAATGACATAATTATTATTTTGGTTAATTGATTAGTTGTTTAGAATGACCCAGATTAACCTGAAGTAATGCCAACTGTGGACTCCTTACTGACTTTTTCCAAAACAATTACCCATTTTTTATCATTAAAATGAGACATTTACTTACGGATAATTACTAATATTTTCATGCATCTACTTCTGTGTTTGTCCCTCAATAAATAAATGATGAAGTTTGCATAAAGCGCACTTACTGATGAAACGATTACTAAATTAGTTTGTTCAATGATCCATAACCATTAGCCTGACAGTTTCAGTCCAGCTATCTCTCAGACAACTTTCAGTCAACCGAGCATAGATAATGACCACCAACAAAAGCTGATGATGCTCAACACACCCAACAAACAAAAGCAGCAATAACTTTCCCAGTACAAAGCTTGTTTGCTGTGGCAACAACTGCCTGCAGCGCTTTGGGACCATGAGTTCAGAAAAATGCTGTTTTTCAGGTTGCTATAAGTCATTTCATCCACACAATTGGCAGGTCAGTTTCCATGCCAGACAACGGTCCAACGTCATGCGGCCTCTGCACTTGAGCTCACCTCCATCATGACAGAAATAGTAAAAAAATAATTTTAAAAAAGGCTTTAAATGAGGTATAACATGCCATGGTAGCACATGCTAATTAGAGACATTCAAATTCTTAGGAGTAACTGCGGCAAAATATGTATTGACACATTGACATAAAAATATTTTTTTTGCCTTTACAGTTGCTTGCCACTGTGTGCAAGTCTTTTACAAAATGTTAAGTGTAACAAGACAAAATGGGGAAAGGAAAACCATTTCAAGGTAATGCATACAAAAATAGTAAAGTGTGTTCAAATTGTGTGTTCAACATTCCTCCTCACAGTAACTCAAGACTCGGATATCTTGACATCCACATCTTGCTGAAAGAAGCAACTTGATTAGAAAGTCACTGCTAAATTCCAGTGATGAGTGATTGGACAGTGTTCGTGCATTGCTGCTAATCAAAACCACACTGGGAAGGGGAATGTGTCGTGGAGGTTCATGTTCAGACCTGTGAACAAAAGTAAAAATGTCTTGTATGGTCTAGTTTAAATAACAAAGCCTTTCAGGTGGTGACGAACTGTGGATCATAGAGTCTAATATTTTCAGATCCTGGACTCAAGCAAACACCTCCTCGTCTCAAAACTATAAAACAGACTTTATTTTCTCCAGGACACAAGCCTTTGAAGCCTCATCTTTAAAAGACTCAAGTGCACGTGGGCTATGAAGTCTCAGTAGGCAAATGAGTAACCCACAGGCATGGAAAAGGTCTTCACTGCTGCATTCTGGGAAGTCAAACACAACTGAATCATGTGGGTATTAGAAGTGCTACAGACACTGTTCACTGGTTCCGAGCCCAGACCAGAGCAAGTCTCCGACCAGAGCGAGTCTCCGAACAGATGCTCAGGTTTCGATGGAATCACTCTGGGGCAAGCAAAGGATCATGGGACAGGGTTGGACAAACATCAGACAAGACAGGGGGCTTGTGTGCGAAACCTCCACACCAAAGCAGACTGACACACACACACGACTCATTGGAATCCAAAAAATAAAAATGTTGATGTTGAAACACTATGGTAATACAAAATGACATATTTGTTTTTGCTCTGCTTTTTTTTCCAGATCCAGATTTTAATCCATTGCAGTTTTCATTCATACATGCATTGCCGACAAATTCAAACTCATGTCATTTCTTTGCCATATCTGCTCAATGCAACCCGCTTTATTTATGCTTGACCCAATTTCCAGGTTGGATCCAGGCACTGTGTTCAGGCAGAAGCTGCAGACTGACAGAAAGACTGGCACAACCACTGATCAGGGAGTTGGCATGAGTAATCCCCTGTGTCCATTGAACAATTCTGTTCTTCAACTTCAGCTTCCAGGGCCAAATGCATAACTACACTTTGTGTGCAGCTCAGGCACTAATACACTGTTAATTTGGCAAAGTGAGAGACACATATTCAACAAAATCAAAAATCAGCCCAGAAATCATTTTCATGCCCAATGGAATCCCAAATTGAATCCTGGTTGAGCTGTTTCGCTTCGTGAACAGAGACCCACCCGTCAGGGAGTGAGCTCTGGGTGCTGCAGCTGATGATGACATGCAAGTATCTTACATAACAATGATACATTGTGCAACAGGGCAATGGTGTCTAAATCAGGACAATGGTTTTATAATGCTCTCACATCAAATATGTCTCCCCAAAAGTGATAGACTTTGACCAGGGAGTGAGTTTAGTGCAATGCAAACTCGGCACAGTTAGCATCTTGGTTTTAGCACTCTGTGAATTCCCTCACTCTTTATGTTGCACTCTGGGTCACAGGAGCTTCTGCTGAGTCAACATCACAAGTGGGACAAAACACACACACACACACACACACACACACACACACACACTGCAAGGCTTACTGTAATCCTGTCCATCTCTGTTCTGTATACCGAGGGCAAACATTTACTGATTCCATAGAAATGATAACATTATATCATCATACAAGTATTCTATGTTCTGCCTGGTGTGTGTGGACCTCAACTAACACCAAGAGACACACACAATTTAATATAGACGTAATGAGGGAAGGAAATGGTTATACACTGCTCATTACAATGAAAAGCTATTCTGGGATCTAACCTACGTGAATATATAGATGAAAAGTGTAAATTGGGGGTGCATGCATGGCTTTGCCTGTATCTGATAGTATAAATGTACATGCGGGGCAATGTCTAATAAAGTCTTATCAAGGTGTACAATTCTTGCTGTGTTCTAATGTATTTGTCCCCAGTCAATGATCTTACTAACTTAGAGAAGCTATGATACATTGGTTTGGTGGCTGGTTTCTTTATGTTTTATGTTAACAAGAAGTGGATGTTGATGCCATGCCATTTTAGAATAAGGAGCATGATGGGATGGCCCTTGATATGACGTAAAATTATGCAATTCCCGACATTAAACTGTGACGTTATCAATTGCATCATATCATGTGACCTTTGTAATGAAGAGAAAAGTAAGAGACTTTGATACTTCTGTCGTCCAGAAAATATTTGTGGACTTACCAAAGATTTCCCCATTCTTGGCATATTCTGTCACCAAATAGAGCATATTTTTGGTCTCCATCACCTGTGGGGAAAAAGAGGAAAATAATGGTGTCAGTCAACTGACTTCTTTTGTAAGGGTGTTCTCTGCGGTCGTTCCTGAGCTGAACCAAATGAATGAATGGCTCTAAATCCGGCTGCAAGTGGGAGAATGGAGGTGTTAGAGGGCCCTTGTAGCATTTTTGGACACAGCGTGCTGCTGTGTTAAGTAGGAGGAGGACAAATTTAGAAGCAGGTCCGTTCAAGAGACAAACAAAATAAAATACAGAGGAGAGTGTGAGATGGAGAGCGGAGGATGAATCAGACACAGAGAGCCAGACATTCACACTACCAATCCCACGCTCATTGTTTATGATCAAGTTCCATCTGTTATTTGGACCCATTCACAGACTTAGGAGAGATAAGCCTGTTTGGTTGGTTGGTTCTGGCTGTATTAGGATTCACCACATCATTCACCCTTAGCTTGATCAGTGCTTCTCAATTATTTTCTACCAGGCCCCCCTTACGAAGAAGAACATATGTTGTTCCCCCCGCTTACATCTTTAGACTATTTAGAAAAATCTGCTCTCAGCCTAAAAAGTCAAATAGTGACTCACAATAGAGATTTGCAGTGTGCAAAATGTTTTTTTCATGTAATAAGATGAAGACGGCCTGTTGTGGTCTGATTTGTTCAGATACCCCATCTTTAATTAATTTAGTGGGTTTTAGTTGAGCTTTAGCAGGAGACACAAGGGAAGGCATGGAAACTTCCTGAGGTGTCCATAATCCAGGTTTTTTACTAGAAGAACAGACAAGGATTTTCTTCTTGTTGTCTTTCTCTTTTTGAGCGTTCTGAACTGTATTTTGCCCACTGTGGGACTAGTACAGGCGTTCATTCAACTGACGAGATCCCCCAGTGCAAACTTTCGTAGCCTGTCGCAGTGTCAGAGCTGAGCAGAGCGCACACGGGGGATGTGAACCCTCTGTGCACAGACTGAATGTGGAATCCCGTTCTAGTGCGTACAGTAAAAATAGCATATTTGTTATATTTTAACAAGAACATAAAAATGCAAGAATAGTATAAATGAGTCTTCAGTGAAGGAATGAATTGATGAATGATACCTTTATTACAACAAATACAAATATAATATAGTGGACAAAATAATCTCATAACTCAAAATATGAATATAGAAAAAAAGCACAGATACAAAAGATTTAAAAGATACAAAAAATAACATTGATTTTCATTTTCATGTTTAGCAGCCCCGACAAGAGACAGGATGTACTAGGGCTGCATGATATTGGAATCAAGAGCGATATTTTATATGGGTGTTTAGAATATCTATTACAATATTATAGCGACATTTTTGTCTTTCACTTAAAATGCTATCAGCATTTAACCGCAGGAGAAAAATTATTAAGTACATTCAAATGCAGAATGGCACACTTATTGAGATCAAATCTTACCAAAAGTTGCCAATTCCATACATACAGTGTTAACGGAGAGTGTGCACTTTGCTACATATCGCGTAATGGCTGCAGTAAAAGCTTTGTGTCGCCTCGAAGTTTCTCATAAAGAGCTACAGAAGCAAAACTGTCATTAATGCATGTTTGTGCATTTGCCTTTGGGTTGATGGGAGTAGGCTGTTTTAGATTGTAAATACACAGCATAAAGAACCTTGTGGTTGTGCTGGAGATGGCTTTGTAGATTTGTTGTGCTTCCCTTTGACATAGCAGCTACTTTTGACTTGAAAATAACTTGTTTCTGTTATATCAAAATTATTCTGCATATTTTTGATATGGAAATTGCAGGTATCAATACCACAATGGCAACATTTTTTCAATAAATCGTGCAACCCTAAAAGGTACAAGATTTAATAATAATGTACCCCAAAATAGAAACGATAAGATCAAACTTTATTGATCACACAATAGTGAAATTTACATATAAAAATAGGATCACTCACGATGTGCAAAAAGTTATATTTGTTATATTTGTGGAAAGTGTGTGACATTTGAAGCCAACAAATGTAATAAACTCCACATAAACATTCAATATTATTGTTTTTGTGTGTGATTATGTAATAATGTATGTGCTGGCCAAAGAGAGTGCCTAGAGATATTGCCATGTGTGCTTTTAAATAAATGGCCATAATGACATAGCAGATCAAACATGGATTTGAATATTTAACTATCGAGTTTTCTGGTGGACTGTAGAAACAAAACAAAGGGCAAAATAGTCACATAGAGCCAGAAAAAAATAGAATGGACAAGATAAATGTTAGTCAAGAATTCAAGAAATTATGAACTTTCTCACTAACAGAACCAGAAAGTGCTGACTGCTGTTTGACGTGACAAACTGCAGACAGCTACACAAACTTTAGACCTCACTGATAAGGTGCGCACAGAAACATCTCTGAGGCGAGGAGAGCAGGGAGTAGAGACTTGTAGAGGCTTGTTTGTGAACCTTTGAAACTATGAAGCGTTACTTTATTTATCACAACTAACCATTTATTTAATGCATCTGTGGACATGAACACTAAGAGTGTTTGAGGTCCAATCAGTGCGTGCCTCAGGGGAATGGCCGGTAAATTTAGAGATTATGAAACAGGCTCGAGATAGTCATCTGAACCTAGTTTATGTAATTGTAATTGAGTAATGTAGGACATTTTAACAGGCTGCTAATAATTTGTTATTACTTGCAATTACATATCTTTTTGCAACAGAAACAGAAAATCCACTTACGTTTTCAAAAACTTATTTGGCAAAACACCATTGGTGAGCCCCAGAACAGATTTCTAGATCAACATCAATGATCACCAATAATGTCAAGGATTTATTTTCATGAATATAAGGTTTTTGGCTATAAACTACTATACTGTATACTATACTGTATTCTATTGAATATTCTGTAGAATACAGGTATAGAGTGGAGCAGATGTCAAAGACAAACAGGACATTAAGACTATGGGTAGAGGGGCGAGGCCACAGCAGAGTTCTGCTTCCCCTTTGGGCCATAGGGACAGCTCCAGCTCCTTACTTTCCAGTGAGACTGGAAAGAAAATCACTAATTGAGCTGCATGATTGGATAGACGGCTCATTGGAAATAATGATACAGACTAAAATAACACCCGATGCTGGACTGACGCCACACTGTTGTGTAATGATAATGAACACTCAATTACTTCACAAAAATACACACTTATGTAATGTGCTGTTTGAGAGTCGACATTCACTGGGGCAAAAAAGTATTTAGTCAGCCACCAATTGCGCAAGTCCTCCCACTTAAAAAGGTGAGTGATGCCTGTAATTTTCGTCATAAGTTTACCTCAACTATGAGAGACAAAATGAGAAAAACTATCCGCATAATCACATAATCTTATTTCTAAAGAATTTATTTGCTGATTATGGTGGGAAAAAAAGTATTTATTCACCTTGTAACTTCTTTAGAGGCTTCTCTGTCCTACACCTGTATTAATTGCACTTTTTGAACTTGTCATCTGTACAAAAGACACCTGTCCACAACCTCAAACGATCATACTCCACTAAGGCCAAGTCAAAAGAGCTGTCAAAGGACACCAAAAATGTAGACCTGTACCTGGCTGGGAAGGCTTACCAAATTAAATGCATATTACTAAAGTAAAAAAAGAGACCAGTACATTTAACTGTCGTTTTTGCTCTTGCTGGTGTAAAGGGTTACTAACATCATCTAAACCTGTTTCCCTGCATGTTGAGATCATACATGTATCTGCTCTGGTTAAATATGTGCTGCAGAGGTTGATATTAAGGTTAAGTGATAAAACCAGAACTGGATTTTACCCACAAAGCTGGCAACCCAAATGAGAGACCATAGACTTATTTTAATGCTGTTGTCTATCATATTAAATAATGTGTGTGCAATCTGAGTGCTCTTATTTCCTTCTTTCTCTGCTCTGCTGGGACGAATAAAGGAAGATCTCATCTTATTTTACAGTTTTCTGAAAGGATAATGGTTCATATTGTTAATTGTTATTGTTTGAAAAAGTAATAATAGGTCAGCAAATGTTCTCCAGAAAGTCTGTATATTATGGTTGTAACAAAAAACAAACCTAATATAACTGTTTTATATTGTAGCTTTAAAAGAAATAATTCCTCTTTTGAATTTGCAGAGGTTGAGCAGACATATTGAGAAATATAACATTATGGCCACATATCATATTGCGATTCAAATATATTATATCTTATTATATACACTTTAATTTTGTATAAAAAAAGTAATTGTGTACAATGAACCCAAGACCCAATAGAACAATTTAAATGCATTAAAATAACCCTGAGACCCTGCTTATTTGTATAAAGCACACCAAGCTCCACCCTCTGCTGCAGACAACAGACACATGGTTCATGTATTCTGTGCTGATTGAAGAAGCACTCCGTGTACCACAACTCCGTGTAGTTGTAAGATAAATCTAATCTAACTTGTAAGAGCAGCAGCTCAGTGTCCATGTGTGCATGTGCGTTCACGCAGCTGATAAATATGTGAACACGCCTTTGAATGAGCAGTATGTAGTTTGGTGATGTGTACATCAGGTGACCAAGCAACCGAGCAAGTTATGGAAGGAGTTTTTACTATTTTACTGAATTAATTGCAAAACATTTTCTGATTATTTTGATCTTTTTATTTTATCGATAGAAGCAGCTGTTTGCTAAAGCATTAGAATATGAATGCTCTGCTGAAGGCTGTTAACACCCATGCACCCATGTTACAGCAGGGCTCAGCTAAATCTAGGCCCAACAGGAACCTGACATCCTACGTCATCCACAGCCCACAAAGAAACCCACAAAGGGAACACGAATGCTTACTTGATACAGCTTGATGATGTGTGGATGGTCCAGCATCTTCATAATCTGTACCTCTCTGTAGATTTTCTCCAGGTTCACAGCATCCAACTGGGTCTTGTCAATGATCTTAATGGCGACCTGTGACGGGAGAGCGGCAACAACTGTAATTCATACTAATCTTAAAAACTTCTGGGGACTGACTGACTGGGCCATCACCAAAAATATTCTATTCAAAGTGGGAGCAATGTATAGAAAAAATATAATTTGGGATGTACACAATGTATTGTACACTCAATCTAACCATAATATGCTAAGATAAAAGGTCTTTGCTTGATCTTGAATAAACATACATTTATACATTTTACATTATTATAGTGAGACTCAGTACCACAACATCTTCATCTCATTATTGACCTGTGTTCAAATTCAGCATGGCACACAATATCCTGAAGAAATCTTCAAGAAAATGTTGAGGTAATAGGAGAACATATAAGCTTCTACCCAGTTATACTGAGGCCAGCCTACATTCTCCATAACAAAGCCCAAAGTTTACGCAATCCAAGCAATGACACAGGATAGATATTATGGTAATTGTACTAAACATTCCCTATTCGTATTGAAATATCAAAAGATGAAACTTAGGAATTATTGGAGGTAACCAAAACTAATAAAACCCTACAGTTATTGACAAAAATAACAACATATTAATTTGAACGACCTTGGTAACTATATTCTATTGATCTTTTGTAAAATGATTTGGTTAAGATGACAGTATTGCAAGTGACTAAAACAAACCAATGTTTGTTATATAGCTTATAAATAGGAATATGGAAAGTTAGGGAACTTTAGGCTAAATGTTAAATATAAATAAACAAAAATTGTAACGTTGCATTTATTTGTGTATATTACCTACCTCTAATAGCAAATGCACTGGATGAATTGCTTTGACTCAAGCAACTCGGTTATTACTTATACCTAGTCTGGTTTGCCATTTTAGTCTCATCATAATCACTTAAGAATGAGACCATGTGAACTATATAATAAATTGGCATGATCCAAAATATCACAAAAAACAAGCAATAAATACGTTTTTATATTAAAATGTATGCCATATTCAGGATTTGAGAAGTCCAATAAGCAGATATTTGAATAAACATGGATAAAAAATTATCACAGTAACAACATTAGTCTATTCTAGGCTAGAATTGGAAAACAATGAGTTAAATAGACTTAGACTAGTTTATTTGTTGTATATATTAAATACATATAATTAGTCTACAGCAGGATTTCTGACATGAGTTCAACTGACTGAATACAAGTTAAAGCAATGATAAGTTCAAACATCACAACTCATAAAACTATTATCTTTAAATCTGGGCTCTAATAGATAAAGTAGAGGTTGATTTATGGAAAAACTTGAAATTAAATTGCTGGTATTGTTTACTGAATGTGGTCCAAAACTTCAATGATAAAAAGAAAAGGGCATTGAAAATTGCACTAAAAAGCAAAGACCAACTTGTGGGTAATGAATGAACAGATAAAAAGGGTGTGGTCACAATGGATGGAATGCCTAGTACCCAGATTCACTGCATAATCCATTCACTACTCAGTTTGCATGTTACTCCTCATCTCTGGGTGGGTTCCAGATAAAAAAAATAGCAAATAATTATTACATTCTAATTTATTCCATTTGAAGAATGGGTCAAATGCAGATTCAGAAAATAGAGAGATGACAAAGTGCAGCTTGCCATAACTGGCAGTGTGATGTGCATGCACCGGAAGAATGATAGAAAATACTCCATTGCTTCTCTCATTATTAAACAGCTGCCTGGGCAGGTGCAACATACTACGAAATCTGAAATCTGAGGAGAATTACCAAAAATGTAATGTAGACATTGTAGGAAGCATAACGTGTATAGACAGTAACCTCTGGGACACGACTGTCCTCAATTCAGCAGCACACCTTCACTCTATTAAATCATGCTATAGATACATACTATAATGTTGTTATTAAGTTGTGGAGTACCCGGGGAGGCAAGCTTTGCTGACCAAATAAAATAAATCAAGATTCTTGTGCCAATGAGTCCTTATGTATTTATTAAACATAAAGCTACAAACAGCCCATGCGAATCATTTTCGCCCCAGACCGGCATCAGGAGTGCTCAGGTTCAACACAAAGCCTTTTTTGGAAATCAAACAAGCTGTGGCAGTATGCATTACCATTAATACTTGAGCCCCACACAATAGAGCTCAATAGTAGACAGACACACCGCAGCTTGGTGTCACTACTAAAACAGCGCTTAACGTGTGCTGCTTTTACAAGGAGAACCCCTAACAATAGGAGTGAGGATTTATCCTTCGAACGAGACAATTGGCAGAGAGGAGAAAAATGTATTCACTTTAGTAATCACACAAAGGTACCAACGATCTCTATGGCTTGATCCAGACAGTGTCTGCAGTAGGGGCGTTTTGTGCAGTAGAGAAGTGCACATGTGTAGACTGCATGCACCTAGCAGTTCCCAGCAGCCAGCTGACCAGAGCAGTCCTTCCTTCCTGGCAGTGCAATGCAATGTTGACTCGGAGAAACGTGTACTATCCACTGTGCCAGTCTCTGTCTTCGACTTGCTGGATTTACGCAGTTTCTTGCACACAAGTTAACAGTATTTATCATACTGTGACAAATGCAGCGCCGATGCAAGACAGTCTGTGTATAAAAGTTATATAACTGTATGGAGAGTAGCATATGTTAGCTTCCAGGCTAACGAGTTGACAGACAGCCCAAATTTGTCACTCACCTCTGTCTTGGTAATGCGGTGTCTGGCCAGCTTGACCACAGCGAAATTCCCCTTTCCTAAAGTGCGCTCAATGTCATAGAAGCCCACTCGGACCGGACCCCGAATCTGCGGCTTTGGACCACTGTCAGCCATGACCATGCTGTTCTTAGTGGAGCAGCAAGTGAAAGAGTGAGGTAGCCAGGCGCAAAGGGACACACACGAGAGGCTGCGAGGAGCTACTCTTCCAGACCAAATAAAAACAAAGCGGCCACTGCCGCCGCCGCCACTGCTGCAGTTCTGTGCGTGTCCATTAAAAAAGTTGATTCCTGTCGCCCTGCCAGCTTAATGCCAATGTGGCCACTCTTTCCGTCAGTCCGGAGAGACAGAGCAGGCCATTTGCTGAACTTGTGTCTGTCACAATCTGTTGTAGTCACACAACACAATAAAGAGATTTGATATTTCAAGTTGAGCTGCCTCTATCAGCTCCAGAGCACACGAGTTCACTTGCAAAGAGGCATCATGTTCTCGTGTTGACGTGCATTGACGTCAAAGCCATAGGGGTATTTGTACAGGGGGCGGGGCCGCAGGCCGCTCCACACTTCACTGCCAATTGGTTACCCAGACAACCAGACCCACCTCTTACGTCAACCGGTAAAATTGCTATTCTGAAAACTGTTTGTTTGCCGTCTTGATTGCATGCATAACTTGTGCATGGGTAACTCCATGGGCTAGCAAGATAGGCGGTCAGTGTACGGAAAACGCGTTTACATTATTGGATATCCTAGTACTATGCTAATCAACCCACGTTGCACGAATAACGTGTTTTCCGTAAACTGCACAAGTTATTCATGCAATCAAGGCGGCAAACAAGCATATAATACAATATACTTTATTATAACCGGTTGCAGATGTGATGAATCAGGTGCCAGCTTAATGCCACCTGAAAACTTCACAAATTATCATTTTACGGCTAGACCACTATGAGTAACAATACAGCAGCGCCATCTGTTGGTAAAAGTATCGAATTGATAAGCTTCTACTCTTTCACCTCTCCAGGATGGTGTAGTATTCGCTATTGGCCAACTGTCTATTACCTCTATGCTGCTAATACAAACACAGTCGTATAATAATAAAATGCTGTAATAGTCGGTTTTATTTTCTTGATTTCTGTGGGACAAAATGCTTTCTCTCGTCTTTCTACCGTTTAAAACTGAATAAGACCAACCATATGGCCCTTTTTGCAATATAGTATTATAAGGACCGGGCATGATAGAACTATAAGCTGCATGAAGTAGCCCTGCATACCAAATGACTTGCCTGTCATGCAAAGACTTCCTGAATGTAAGAGTTCCAGATGTGCTTTAGGCATTTCCTGTTCTTCTACAAGACAACCCTCTGTTTTCCTTATTCTATCCCCAGTTTCATTACATTATGTCCACTATGGACTGTTTCAAGCGACGAACATTGTGTAAAAACCTCTTTGGAAATTGCATTGTCAAACAACTTTTGTTTCACAAGCATGCTCTGTCATAACCAGAAAAGCTGTTCCCTGAATCCCAACTGGAAGTTGTCAAAACAAAGCCACACATTGTTGGATGCATTAATGAACTGTAGATCAGCGTTACCAAGTTCACTGTAAAAACGACAACTCCAAATTTTTCATTTTTGCATTCACTGACAATGCAATTTCAAGTTGGAATTTGAACTGTCTGTTGTGAGCCACTTGAACTCACTTTCAGAAGTTTCTGATGAAAAGTTCACCTTATTTGATCAATTAAGTTTTACTTTAAGTTGTAGTTAAAGTAAAATCAACTTAATCAACTTCTGAAAGTGAGTTCAAGTGGCTCACAACAGACAGTTCAAGTTCCAACTTGAAATGTTATTGTCAGTGAATGCAAACATCTTAGTAAGGTGAACAATTTTGAGTTGTCGTTTTTACAGTGCACCTATGGCCCAGTCCCAATACCCACACTGCACCAAATAGATCCATGACTGCACCCTACACACCTCTACAAAGTGTGCATTTGTTCGAAGTGCACACCAGGGTTGGAGTGCGCAGGTTACAAGCGTGCAAAAAAGGCGGAATGGGGACAGTGCACACTGAGAGCAGGATACGTCATCGACTCGTCAAGAGATGGTCATTTTCAGACCTAAACTTTATAAAAATTAAAGGTAATTTTGTCTGACCCTTTGGGAAACAAAATGAATTGCTTCACACACGTTAAAATACATGTATATTAGTTGTTTTTAATTAGAGATAGCTGTGTTATTTTAAGTTAAATGTGGGTAACTAACTATCTGGTCAGTTTTTATACATTCTAGACTCTACAAGATTATTGTACTAAGTGTAAAGTTTAAATTGAATGTTATATAAACGCTTGCTTTAAAAAGTTATTAAATTGTTAAAACACAATGTCCGTAATTCTTCATCAGACGTTTATGCTTCTTTCCAAGTAACAGCAAAACTTATTTACACACATACTGCATATATATTTCAAAATGTATATTTAAATGCATTTTCCCGACGTTTTGGTGTGTACCGCAAAGAATTATGGGCAATATCCTTCGCCAGAGTGCGCCATGGATCTATTATGGAGTGCGCATAGATGCAGGCTACGGCGAAGTGTGGATCAGGGGCGCAAAGGGGGCGGGGTCAAAGACCTCCCTGGAGAATTGGGACACCCTACCATGGATGTATTATAATAACTGGATAGGGTATTGCTAGCTTGTAGCTGAATAACTCATGTGCTCGGGGGATTCTCGCGGTACTGCAGACTGAACCAGACTAAATTCACGTGGGCTACCCAGAAATTTTCCCCATAGAACTCAATGCATATTAAAACAGCTCAACCTCAGCTGACAGAGAACCTACAGCTTTAATAAAGATCAGATTTTGTGGGGATTTTAGTGTCCCTTGTCATCCTGAACTTTTTTTCTTCTTAAATCCTTCGGTTTTGTTTAAATCCACACTTTAGTGCCACAAACTCTGCTCGTCTGGCTCTCGCTCTAACTCCCGCTCTGATGAACTGCTCTGATTGGTCAGAGCGCGGCCGAGCCCCTCTGTGCACGTGCGTGAGACCCGGTGTAAGACCCACACACGCGTGTTTGGCGCAACGCATTATGGGAGATCATCCACTGCGCAGAACCGGGAGGACCAGACGATGCCCAAATACAGGCGAGTTTCCCATAGATCTTTGCGAGTTTCAGGCGACTTCCGCTAATCTTTCAGCCCCCATGCTGTCACAAAGCGCCACTGAGCACAACCATTCATTTGAATGGGGGCGCCATCTTGGATCGCCGGGGCTTGCACCCTACGCACTCGGGAACGCGCAAATGAGGGGCGCGAGGGTGGAAGTGCGAGTATTGGGACGGGGCCAAGGGCTCGACACACGGGAGGCGACAAATGAGAGCGATCAGCAAAACTCAACGCTGTCGCTCAGATAACATGACAGACGGGGCGCGATGCGGCTTGACGACAGCGTCGAAAAGTTGAGCCGATTTCAACTTTCTGGGATCGCGTCGCTGACCTGCGCGTGCACGATACATGCACGAGCGGGAGGATTTCACACGCACGTTTTTCGCCCGTCGCTGAGCAGGAGGCTCGCTAGCGATTGACGCTATGTCGCGCACGTCCCATTGAAAATGAATGGAGGCGATGCGATGTCGAGCCCATGGTCGAGCCCTTTAGTGAGGTCGACTTATCTGCGCATGCTCATTTCAAATTTGTCATGGCAACCGGCTGCATTCAACATTTTGAATAAACTAATTTGACCAAATAAATCATTGTGTTTATTTTTACCAACCGTAATGGACAGGGCCATACGGAGCCCTGCAAGGGCCAGGGGTAAAAAAATAAATAAACTGTGCGCACAGATTGTTAAACTGTGCGCACAGATTGTTGAACCGTGCCCACAAATGCGTCAGATGAGATGTCACTTCCGGCGCCGCGTCATACCCGGTCTACTACTACCGTTAATATAATAGATCCATGACTACTACTGATTACAGAGACTATTTTTGTTGTATCGTGTTTTTAGTGTGAGATGACGTCGAAAGTTTCAACGTTTACTTTTCAACGGAGACAGGACAGTACGTCTGGTTATCACTGCTGTGTTCCACGATGCTCAAATTCGGCCAGATTTAACTCTGCTTTAAGTTTTTTCACATTCCCTGGAGATTCTTTACTGCGAAAAAAGTGGATCGTGAAAATAAGAAGCGACCAGTTTAAGGTTACGTCAAACACACGGGTCTGTTCTCGCCACTTTGAGGCTGAAGATATGATCCAGCCCACCACCCCACAAGACCGCGGTAAAGTGGCCCGCATCTTTCAGCTCTATGAACAAGCGGCCCGCATCCAAGTGTATCTGTCTGCGGCCTGCAGTAAGGAGGCGTGTCGGGTAGTAGGCGTGTCGGGTAGTGACGTCACTACCCGACACGCCTACTCCACGTTCTACCCGACACGCCCACTCCACGTTTCTTAAAGGGGTATGAGCACGGATCTATTATAATACGGGTAGAGTACTATTTATGCCCAATAATGAATTTATGCGCCACAATTAATGTTATGGTGCATGTCATTGTCATCATTATTTATTGGGGGAAAATGGACGAATTTTGTAAATATCAAAGTAGTACTTCAGACTACTTCAGACAATCAATAGGGATTTGAAGCGGCTCAGGACAAAAGTTAATGAGTCAAATAATGCCAGTGCTTATGTCTAATGTGTAGCTTCATTTATAAAAGGGGCCTATGGTTGGTGGCTCAAATCCTGGCTGCCCCAAGTGCAGTCTGGTATGTTCTTGAGCAATGCACTTCACCCACATGTGTGGACATAGTGAGAGACTGCTTGCACAGATTAGCTGCCTGGCATCCATTACTGCAACCCAGCTGTGGCACACTGTGTGGACTAAATGAATAAAGACCACAGTGTGGCGTTTTGAGAAACTTGTCAACACAGGATTGAAAAGCACATTAAGCAGACATTCATTATTATTGTGTTTCGTCAAATATGTATGTGGGAGAGGGAGATTAAACAAAAAGAACAAATTGTTATCTGGCATTTTATATACATGCTTTTTCATGAATTTGTGTTCTGTGAATGGCTCTGAAATGTAGAAACTGAAAAAGTTCAACACAAAACAAATATTGCAACACATTC